GCGCTTCTTGCTGGGCTTGAGCATGAAGGGTGGTCAAGTCTCTTCCTCTTCCTCCTTGTCCTCCTCCTCTTGCGCTCTGCTCAAAAAGTTGTCCTGAAGAGATGGACAGGGGCCCAATCTCGACATCAATACACGGGCGCCAATACACGGGCGCATCCTCAGCACACACTCACGCACGCTTGATGCACCTCCCTCTGAGCTTGCTCCCGCCCAAGGGTAGGTGGACATTGGCCTGGCACCCAGCACAAACACCTTTTCCCTCCCAACCCTGAGCTCCTTGGTTCCCAGCTTCAGCACAAATTCCTTCTCCCACAATGTCTTTGTGGACGCGATGGCTCTGACGCCGCTCTGGAGGGGTGATGTGACGCGACGTGAGTGCAATTGTGAATCTTGCGCGTGCTTCTCCCGCAAACACGCACCCTCGTAACGACCACATCTTTTCCGACTTTCAACAATGTCAGCTGTTCCCCCTCCCCCCCCCCCCTCCCCTTCCAACTTTGTTTATTTTCCCCATCTTTCTCCCTCCAGTCATCCTTCCTCATCCTCTTTTTTCCAGGGATGACGAGGACAAGGACAACATCTCCTCCCCCACTGCCAGCGCCTTGTGTGGCAGCTACCCAAGACTTTCCGCTTGTCACACTCCAACTTTCTTTTTCTCCTTGTCCACAGCGCGTGTTCCCTACCCTTCTACGCAGCAGACGTGCGAAAGACGCTTCGCAAGCCAAAATGAGAAGGGTTACGCACGCTTGATGTCACCAACAAACCTCTTAGGCGACGCATGGCTTTGTCAACGTGAACGGGCCTCAACGCTGGTCTTCGTTCTGTTGTGACTCGCCTGCACTGAAAGGCCGTCTTCGGCGTGTTGAATTTACGGCGTCCCTTGAAAGTGAATTATGACCGACAGCCTAGTCATTCAGTGGATTCATAGGCACCAAATGTATGATGGCAGAAGTCGCATCTATGATGGGCCTCCCTTACCGACTCGATCTACCACGAGCGAACGGCAGTCAACGCAGAGTCTTCTCTACTCCTTTGTTCTTGCAGCGCATAGAACAAGAAACACGCTCGCACACGTTGATTGTGAGTCGTGCAGTCACTATTGAGCTGCGATGAAGCATGCACAGAGATGTCGGCAGAAGATCTGGGTAAAGTAGTGACTGCATGTATTAAACTCGTCTCGCTGCCTCAGTATCCGACGAAAGGGCTTCAATCTGTAAGTTCTAATTTGTACCAGTTCAAGGTGAACGACATGCCGTTAATGGGGCTTAGCGAGCGATCAAACGAGTGCACGATTACGCGGGACCTCGACTTCGCTGACCATGCTCCAAAGGGGTGTAAAAATGTAACATGCCTGCAGTCGCATCGACAGAGAGCCAGCCATCCTTTTCGAAAGATATGCGCCCTTCTGAGACTTCCGCATTCGATAGCTGACAATGGTCTGATATTGCTGGTGACTTATGATATTCCCTCGTTCATGAGCCCCAAGACTCTGGGTAGCTGGAAACCGAACGAAATAGCATAGGAATTTGAGGTGTAGTCACGGAGTGTCACCCTTATTTGCAGCGCATGTCTTTTGCTTTCAAGTGTTGTTGGCCAATGATGGCAGGCTAGATACTGCCAGACTTAGCGTAGCGCGTCGGGTTGTAGCCGAAGAATCGGGGCTTGTTACGGTTCACGTGCGAGGATTCATGTTGCAGCGAACGTCATCAAGACATATACAATGTGCAAGCCACTGGTCGCAAAGATGCCCCCTCTTGACCTGAACCTGCCAGAACTGGTCTGTCTGGCCAGCCAGATGCCTGCAGCCTGGTCACTCAGTTTGTCCAAGCCAGCAACTTCCTCTGCTCCATCTTGAGCACCATCAACATGAGTGCAGGGAGCACAAGGGTGTTCAACAACTTGCTTGCAGTTTTGGAAGACTGTTGGGTCAACTTCACTTGCTTCTCAAGAGGGCAAAGAAGATGGCAAGGGATCTTTCCATCTGAGCTCAAGGTAGCTTGGACCAGGATGACGGCTATCATAGGTGCCACAGGACAAGCAGACTGGGACCTGCTCATTCCCGTGTACAGCAGAGATTTGACAAAACCCTTGAAGCAGACTCACTTCACATTCATCAGCATGCAAGTCAAGTCAAGAAAGGAACCTGCCAAGTCTTGCCACCCAGTCAGTTGGCTGTGGGCTCATCAGGGCGCTAAGGCTCCCATTTCCATTGTGCTCAACCTTGGCACAAGTGTTGCTGGTCAAGAAGAGGTCTTTGCGCGTTGCTACCCACCTGCTCCTGCTGGAGACAGGCCAAAAATGCGCAAATACAGCTCCCATGAGCTGTGGTATCATGAGCTGTATACGGTTGGCTATCACCAGGAGAATCACCCAGAAATGTGATTCCTTCAAGCTGCAGCTGAACGCGTTTTCTTTGGCGGCCAAATCACATGTAAGAGCGCAACAGCACGACCAAGCTCACTTTTGATGTGCCTGATTTGGCCCTTCAAGCCGTGAACTGGAAAGCGTGCCAAAGAGGTGATGGAAGCCAGCAGAGGCCATGTTTTTCTCTCAACTTCAAACATCTTCCGAGTCTGAGCTAAAGCTCGGAGAGGACATCCTTTCTGCTCTTTGCCCTCATGGCGATCAATATTCTCTGATGTTGGTTTCAGAGCTGTGCTGCGGCCAGCTACACACCGATTTGAAGCTGTGAGTTGTGCGCGCCGTTCTAACAGAAACAAATCTGCTGAGATATTCTCCCTGCAGCACACTACTAAAGCTAGCAATGATCTGAGCGGCAACGCCAGTATAAACGTCAGAAGTGAGTGATCACGCGAGGCATTTGACCAATCGTGCCCTGTCGCGCGTCCAGCGACGGGAAACAGGACCACCAAATTTCCGATGCTTTTGCTTCAGCCAGCCTCCAACGTCACTGAGCTGCATGCCGAAAAAGGATTTGGCGCGCTGGCGCGGCGCCCGTGAATTGTAGCTCATCAGGGCGCCACAAAGCCCAGCACTACACACTGGGGCTTTGGTTGTCTCATAGGTGATTAAATGTGACCTCGTGCTGTTTTAGAGCGATTCGGACTGGAAAAAGGCCAACCGGCCGACCCCAACCGATTGAGTATGGCACTTGCTAGAACGCCATTTGGCACGATCTCTCCCCTTTCGCTGCTAAAACCTTTCATTCAGACAACAGGAAGCCAAGTTGTACTCTGTAGCTACCTCCGCTGACCCACCTTTGCCTTTCACCTAGGCACGTTGCCTGCTTTTCGCTGCCTGTAGATCTCCGCGAATACTATCTTGCCCACATGAAGCAGCACGATCCATAGAGTGGAGAACTTGCGGAAGATGCCTTTGCTGCTAGGCGGTGCAGAGGGCAGCCATCAAGGGGTACATCAAGTTGGAGAGCGTCGAGAAAATTCCCCAGCCCAAGGATTATAGGCAGTTGCGGGCACTGCTCGAAGGCAAGGAGCAAGACTACCTTGATGAACACCTCTTTATCCGCTAGCACGGTAAAGAGCGATCGAGCGCAACGTGACGGCCGTGCGCGGGTGCCCGCCTCTCCCTCTTGGCTACCAATGCTTGCTATCGCACGTGTGATTGTCCCATTCCGAGGTTTCTGTCGAGTGTACACACCTGCAAATGCATGACATCGCGTTCGGCCCTGCATGGATCCAAAGAGCTGTCGAGCAATCGCTGGCGAGGATGAGGCTGACTCGACTTGCGCCGGATGCGCGATGCTGGCGATGTGTGCTAAAAGAACTGTGTGGGTGCAACAGGATGATGACGGATGGTGGTTAGTGCCAGTAAGTAACAGAGTGCTAATGCGCGGTAGTAAGAGAGGGTCAATGCGAGTAAATGAGAGTTCTAGTCGGTCGGAACGGTCGGCGGCACGGGTGGAAACGCTACCTCTTGTTCTCTGCTACTCTTCTCACTCTTCTTGGCTTGTTCTGTCACTGGCTCACGTCTTGCCCCCATTCTTCTGCTTCTCGCACTCTGACTGAGATCGTGTTGTGCAACGACACCCATCAATTTTCGCGCAAATTGTATCATTCTACAAATCTGTCCTGATTTCTCTCACACAGAAACCAAAAAAAGAACAGCATCGAAGAAATAAATTTGAGATCACGCAACGGCGATACACGAAAAAGTGTGGAAAGAGACAGACTTGTCAGACCGAGCGTGTGATTCTTCGATGGTCGTTAACGTTTGATACGGTTCAGTCTACCTGGACGTGTTTGACGTTGAAGCGGCGGCTGTGTTTTTTCTTCCGCAGCAAACCCGAGAGCGCAAGTTCTGAGGCGTTTCTCTTTAACGACGCGCCATGCGCGACGCTGAGATCTATTGGCGGTATGTGCGCCCCGCCACTCGTCATGCTCGTGTTCTTACAGATTCTGCGAATGCCAAACTCCCAGCAATGTGCGCCAGAAGCAAAGACGTGAAGCAACTGAGAAGCCGAGAAATGGAGGAAAAGACAAGGAGCACCAGGAGCACGTGTAGACTGTCGAAAGGTAGCGTGCGGATGCATGGCGTCGAGAGTCACATCTCCGGCGCGAGTGATATTTCGGGCGGAGTGTCTTCGTCGTTCCAGTATTGTGCGGAAGCGCTTGGCAGAGATCACACACTTCAGTCTACATCGAGCATGGATAGCCGCGTGTGAACAAACGAGACGAGTACTGCATAAGCGTGAGGAGAATCGTGGCCCACATCGGACGTGAGCTTCGCTGTTATATAAGCGTGTCAGCATCCGAAGCCTAACTAGCTCCAAGTCTCCTTCAGCGAAGACGCTCAACATCCCGAGTGTATGGTGGTCTACTTAGCTCACGAATTGCTTCGAGGGTACAGAAACCGCACAACCAACGATGACCGGGTAGCCTTCCAAGTGCCAATTCATCCTTTGTAAGGGCATTTTCTCGTACATTTTCAGGCCACTTCCAAGATCGCGTTAATGTGTGTAAATAGAATTGACCAATTTAGCGCGTTTGGGTGCAATGATGGCGCTGTGTGGTGCGTTCCATATAGCGTACAGAATTTCCCGCGCGATCTGGTGCAAAAGACCATATTTTGGGAACATATGCGGCGGCATCGAGGAAGATTTCTTTTCGATAGTATTCCGCACGAAGCTCAACGCCTTAGAGAGAACCTACTGTCTCTGTCAAAGTCTTGCGCATTAGATACTGGCTTGTAGAGAGAATTGAGCCTTGAAGCGAGAAGAGACGACTCTCCCAGCATGCTTGTGAAGCAATGGGCTTAAGTGCGCGATTCCACAGCACAAGTATCTTGCTGATTGTGTTGCTTGAGACTTGAGATTCTCGGATGGGGGCCCAACAAGTACCAAGCCCTTGACAATCGGAATAAAGCAAGCGCAAAGGCTGCAATATAAGCCTTACTCACAAGACTCAAAATGCAAAAATATCGCGCTTACTTGAAGTCATTGATTGAACACTGACTGACAAGCTCATGCTTTAGGTGATCCACCATAAAAAACTCACATCAGTCCTCCGATCGTAATGGGCCAGTTCACAGCGATTCGATAAGCATCGATGTGGCAAAAACAAACGCTAAATAGCTGACCAGCTCTGGGAAACCTTACTCAAAATGTTGCGAGATTGTCTGGCCAAGAAAAAGGTCGACCCTTCATTTTCATGTGTTTGAAACCTGGTACAAAAGGTTCGGAACTTGACTCCAACACGGTGTTGCGCAAAGCTCTGCGATCTCAGCTATCAATCAAAGACTCTGGTAGCAGAGATGTGAACGACCTCGAGCCAAGTTGCTGGACGACCAGGACCCTGATGTCCCAAACATCATTCACATTGTTTTACATCCTTCACGTTGTTTTACAACAATCTTGTGCAACGAAGAGACGCAGCGCAAGACGAATCTCACCAAGCCTAGCATGGCAATATACTCCGACGTCTACTCTAGGTATATGCGAAAGTGTGTTGGGGCACGTCGAACTCGCTACGACTTCCTGTCCATTGCAAGATCTAAACCTTTGCATGCAATGACCGACTGATCAAGAGTCGTGTCGCGCTGACAAAAATGACTCCGACGATCTGCGTGACGCCTGCCCAAGCCATGAGATGGTGATACGTGTTATCGGAAGGGCTGGACAAGAATGCGCCAGAGATTGGGTTGGAAAGCAAGGCACTGCCAATGGATTGCGTTTCAGATTGGGTAGATCAGGCTGGTCGAGGTACCCACTCACGGCAATGAAATAAGACTATAGATCATCCCAATCCTGGCGCCAATCTGCTCTATCGGACTGATGGCAGCGATGCAAGGCGCCAGGCACGCCATGTAAGCACCGCTAACCACCCCGTACATGACTGCAAATAGGACGATGGATGGAAGCTTGGTCTGGGGTTGCATGCTCGAAATGGGGATCCACCAAGCGACGCAAAAGACACCGCTGAGCAAGGTGGACGGAAGCAGGGTGTTAAAATTGCCAATGTAGTCCATCAAGGGCGCTGCAAGGAGTCGGCCTAAAAGAGAGCCGGCATTGAGAATTGCAATTAGGCTAGCGGGACCGAGGTCAGCTCGCCGAGGGCTGCCTGCTGTAGGTGACAGTGTTGCTCACTAGAATGCAAGGTTTGGGGCGACGTCCTGCTGTATGGCGTATGACTCCAGATCTGGAGGGGCGTAGATTCTGTCAGTCGAGTCTGCCACGGGTTGACAGAGAAGAATTACAGCTCACAAAAGTAAGGGCCGAATATCCCCAACGCAATCAGGCACGACCCACAGCATAGCAACGAGTACTTTGCCTCTTTGAACGCCGAAATGTCCGTCCACTTCTCCTCGCCATTGCTCTCCAGTGCTCGTGAGCTCATCAATCGCACGGCGAGCAGGCCAAAAGCAAGTACGATGAAGGCTACGATGCGAACACTCCATCCGAAGCTGAGGGTGTCGATGGAGAACATGTTGTTGAGAGCGATGGGGAAGATGATGCCGCCTGCTGATGAGCCTGTGACCGCAATCCCCATCGCAAGACCTCGTCTACGCAGGAAGTACGAGGCGATGCTGGATGGCGCGGGATAGAACTGCGAATGCGGAGTTAGAGGACACCGATGCTGATGATTAGGCCAAGTGTTTCGAGAAACTCACCATCAAAGCGCAGCCTACACCTCCGACAAACCCCTGAGCAAGAATAAAGTGCCAATGTTGTGTCGCTAAGCTGGTCATCATGAGAGCAAAGGAGAGCACCAACGTGCCACAGAAGACGAGCCGCTTTGGGCCGTAAGCGTCAAACACCCTGCCCACTGGCATCCCGAGCAAAAAGAAGAGAAAAGTCTGCAGACTTCCTATCCAGCTTATCTGAGACGGCCATGATGAAGTAAGTATTTCCATCTGATAGTAAGTCTGAAAGATGCCAAACCTGCACAAAGATGGGCGCGGGTGGGTCAACCGGGGGAAAAGGCCTGAGCTGCGGAGCGCTTTCGCATTGTGCTCACGAGCTGACCATGCCAAAGCTGGCTGCGAGAGCGAACCAAGAGCCGAGGACGGAGAGCCACGCTTCTTTGCCTCCATCAGGGAACGGCGTCTTGCCTTGTGAAGTCCCCGTTGAAGGCGCGTGTAGTGCGGATGTTTTCAGTCTGATCAAATCCAACGGACTGGGCTTGTGCTGCTTGCAGGGTGCTGCTTGACCGGTCCCCGTGCTCGACGCGCTTTCGCCTTTTTGCGACATTCTACGCGACTGCTCTGGTTGCAAGCCTTGCTGATCGTCTCGTGCCGGCGAGTTGCTCTTGCCCGAGTTCGTGTCTTGATGTCTCGAAAATTCTGGCGTAGTATGGGAGAAGAGTTTGTAAAGGGTGACACGGTCCATTGAACCTCCCTCACTGACACCTCGCCCGTGGCATGAAGGAGAATGGCTAGTGAAGGTGGGAGGCAGCGAGCTGCGACGGGTGTGCCCAAGCATGTTGAGGGGATCCCTTGTGCAACAGAGGAGCGTGCAGAACGCAGAGCCTGCGCGGCGGCGCAGACGCTGTGCAACTGGTACGGGCGCGAACGTGCGCTGATGGGTGGAAGCAAGAAGAAGAAGGGGGATGAGAGATGCTGACGATGAGAAAGGCGCCTTTTCATGGGAGCGCGAGCTGCTTGTCTGAAAGGGAGCAAGCGGGAAGTCTTGCTTCCTCATCAAAACGAGCCTCTCGATCGCATCGTCGGGCATTTCGGATCATGTGCCGTCGAAAAGGTACAAAGACGGAGTACGGTGCACCGTGAGTGGTATGCAGAGGGCGCTTCAGGGCAATAAGCGTTTGCGTGGTTGCCGGCAATCTGGCATGGAGGCACCATCAGCTACCCGGACCTCACTTTGCGCAGACTGACCGGGACGGGTCGTAAGCGTGAGTAGATAGTCACGAATTTGATCGTGTAAAGCGCGGCTGATCGACGTGCACCGTCAAAGCCAACAGAATTGCGCTGAGACTCGAGACTTGGACTTCAAGTCGAGTGCTGCCAGCTTGCAAGGTGATAGCATGTCAAAGTGCGTCGTTCATGTCGCATTTGCAGCAGACTCTGCTTTCGATCTGTCCACGCTCGTCTGCTTGCGCGCTTGGCTTGACTTGAAGCGATAAGATGATATGCCTGCCTTGTCTTGCACTCGTGACTCTGATGACTCCGACTGTCATAGCTGGACTGCCGTGCGCTTGCTTGGCATCGACGACAGGCCAAAGACAGGCCAGGGACTTTTTCTACACGCTCACGTAGCTCACGTTCCTACTGTGACTGCTGCTGTCGCCTGTCAATCACGAATTCTTGACTGACACTTGTTATTTTCGCAACCGAGATGCGCCCGTCGGGCCGCACCTCCGGCCGCGGCTTGAAATCTTGAATGGCTATCATTTAAATGCAGTCACGATCTTGAGTGGCGTCGCATCCGACTGACATGCAACGGCGGACATTTTGGGTCTGCTGATGCTCATTGAAGCTGAATCTGCGTGAATGTCGCTGCTTGACGTGTGCGGGATGATCGAATCAAGAGCAAGGCCGGTCAGCGAGTTCTCCGTCCCAGCAGCCACTGGCACTCACCACTGGTTTGCACCACCACCGAGTGGAAGCAGATTGTGAGCATCGGTGAAGCATTTCAGTCACGCCATGTGAGTCTACCTGATGTTGCATCGCTCTCGTAGCTTCGTGAGTACGTCGGTCACTCAGCACGGCCCGCGCATCACGGCCTTCTTTGCTTTGGGGCGGCCAACAGCTCGGACCGCGGTGATCGCCCCTCGTATGTCCTATTGCAGTTCATCGATGTGCATCGTTGCTATGCCACCAGCCATGAATGCTTGAGTGCGAGAAGTGAATTCCGGCTGTTGGAAAGCCACTTCACCTAAGAAGCTCCAGAAGGTATAGGCAGGCTGGATGAACCAAGAATCAGAATGAATAGCCGAATACTCACACTCATGATTCAAAAGATTCAAATTCACTTCATTCAAGAGTCATGAATCACAAATCGTGAATTCAAGTTCACGATTGTGATTCAATTTACGAGCAGGCGAGACACGTGACGCGCGGCAGCAGATGATGACCCGCAAGCTTCGAGTTTTGAGTTGACGCTGGGTGGATGCAGCGCGTTGCTCCTCCTCATGTCGTTGTCCATCACACAAAACTCGGTCAGCGAAGGCATGCAACGCACCATGGCCCTCCCTACCGCCCCGTTTTGACATCCACCGCGTAGCAGGTGCGTAGCCACGCCGGCACATCCAAAGCTCCTCCCATCCATCAGCATAGCATGCAAGCATGGCTTCCGATCATCCCCCACCCAACTCATCATCCAACACTGCTCCTCCCTCCAGCAGCCTAGCGGGAGCATCCAGCTTGTACGCTGGCATCTTTGGCTCGGACACTGCTGCTGGGGGCAGTGATGGCTCTCAGAAGGTACAGCAGGATGGCAGCGCGTCCAGCACGAGCGCTGCCACCTCCACCTCTGCTCCAACCTCCGCAGCTTTGACGAGCGCCGGCGGGGCCCAGGCATGGTCAGCCTCGCTGCGATTTGCGCCCAGAGCTCAGCCGCGAGTCAAGGTGGGAGCATCTACAGGCAATATGGCCCGAAAGTCAAGCAGCAGCGTGCAGTCCAAAGCGTCAGCAGACGCTCCTCGAGCATTCGGCAACGATGACTCGATGGGCCTCGACGACGACGAAGAGCAGGGTGTGGGGCTCGACAATCGATCAGCTGGATATCGAGCTCATGCTCACGCAGGCAAAGCTGGCAAAGGTGCTACTGCTGCTGCTGCTGCTGCTGCTGCTGCCAACGAGACGGATGCTGTTGCGACGAGTGAAGTGCCTGCCCAACCTACCCTCTCTACGCGGCAGCAACCGCCTCGTGCTGCGTTTCGGGCTGCACCACCAGACGAGGCGCAGCTCGCTCCATCCTCCGCTACACCTTCGATCAGCATTGCGCCCCCTGCAAACATTCCGCAACAGGAGCTGGATGCGGATCAAGCCATGGCAGCTGCGGATCTTGTTCTACGAGCTGAAGCAGAGGGGCGCGGGGAAGGTTCATCGCAGTGGGGCGAGAGGCCCAGGTGGAGGGACGATGAGGATGGCGAAGGGGAGGAGGAGGATGTCAACGGCTTCAGAAACTCAGAGGCTGGCAGGAAGCGCAAAAAGAAAAAAGTGAGTGGCAGTGATGGGCGTATCTGTGAGCGTGGCGTGTAGCGAGACGTCATCTCACGCGCAATCGCCGCTCCTGCTGCTCCAGACTCGTGCCCGTTCGCCTGCTCTCACAAAGCTGGATATGAATGCGGACTACGATCCTCGCGTACCGAACTCCTACACCGAATACATTCTCATGCGATCGGCTAGGCGAAGAGCGGCTTGGGAAAGGGAGAGGCGAAGATTTGCCCAGCTGCACGGAGCAGATCCTGATGACGAGATGATGGGGCTGCATGGCGGCGCAGATCTGGACGACCTGGATCGCAGAGAGAGGTTTGGTGAGTGCGCGTCGTTCTGAGACTTCGTGTGCCACGTTCATCAAGAGCTGAGCCGCGCTTCGACCCCTCCAGCTCGGTTTGCGCCTCCACCCGGTCTGTACGGTGCACTGAGCTCAGGCAGAGACGCCATCGCAGCAGCAGACGACGACGACGACAAGCCGTACATCTCGCTCACCCCTCCTCCTGAGCCACGTGACGATGCGGGCGAACCACCATCAGAGCCGCCTCCGCCACCGTTTGCAACAACTGTTCCCGCATCGAAAGCTATGACTGGGGAGGAAGCGTACGCTCGAAGGCTCGCCATGTCCAGCGCGTCTGCAACGGCAGCTCCGCCTCCATCCTCTGCACCTCCGGGGCCCCCTCCTGGACCGCCTCCCGGACCCCCTCCTGGCCTACCGCCTCCTACCGACCTCACAAATGCTCCATCTCAGCCTCAACAAGACCCGACTTCTTTCGCCGCTCGGCAGTCTGCAGCAGCCGCGATCGCGGCAAAACTGGCAGCTCTGCAAAACAGCGCCGCAGCTTCGACCCCTGTCAAGCAGCCCGTTATCTCGTGGGTCAATCGATCGGACGGTGCAGCAGCTGGACCCGGTCAAGGAGCGCAGCGAGATCAAAAAGGCTTTGCGGCGAGATTGATGGCAAAGCAGGGATGGGTAGAAGGCGAAGGCCTCGGTGCTGCAGGTAACAAGGGCATCGTGACCCCTCTGATGGCTGCCAAGGAAAAGGCAGCCTCGGAGAATAGGTGGAAGGGCAAAGAAGATAACCCAACAAACAGGGCTATGGGCAGGATCATCCATGCCGAGAGCGCAGACATGAAGAAGAAGCTGGAAGAAGCGTATGGCCAGGTGAGAGCCATAAAAGCGAAGGCCCTGACGCGCAGCCAAGCTGATCCTCGAACTGTCCCTGGCAGCCATCCCCCGTCATTGTGCTCGACAATATGATTGGAATCTCTGAAATTGACGACGACCTCCCGGCAGACGTGGGCGACGAGTGTTCCAAGCATGGATACGTGGAAAGGGTCGCCATTTGGCCCTGCCCAACAGAAGCAGACATGGAGAGGGTGCGCATATTTGTCAGATTCTCTGGACATGCGGGTGCCTGGAGATGCGTCAAGGAACTGGACGGGTGAGTGCCATGCTCCTGTCAAAACGTCACTCGACATGTCATAGGACTCTTTCCACTGACGTGCGCATATGCCCTATTCAGACGTTTCTTTGGAGGCAGGTCGGTGCGAGCGAGGTACTACCCTGAGCAAGCTTTTGCCAATGGACAGTACGAACATCGCTAGCACACTCGATACCCGGTGCTGCGGAAGAAACGCTCCAGCGGAGGGCGTCGTGTTGGTATATGCTTATGACATCTCTGCCAACTTGCGTTTAATTCACACATATGCGCCTCCACGCAGCAACCTCAACACACTTCTGAGTGATGCAACGCTCCGAGTCATCTAGGTCTCCAATTTCTCGACCGTTCGCAATCCTTTTACTTGCAAGCGGCGTGCGCCTGCATGGGTAGTCAATCGCGAGTGCTGTCTGCTCGGCGAAGCGCGGTGCTGGGTCAATTAAGCGGGCCAGAGTGACGTGCTTTGTGTTGGTGAACAGCACGCGTGTCAGACGTGTTGCTCAGCCCACGCGATCATCATTTGACGCGACCCGTGCCCCGCATTGAACACAAAACAGTAAGAGTGCCGCGGCTGTGTTTTCAGACATTGTGGAAGGTCCCAACTCGTTCTTGCTTGTGAGGCTGTGCAAGTCACAGAGTGACTACTCACACGAGGCGGCTGAAGTGCGCGTCAAATTGCTTCGAGCAGCGTTTGATTGACAATCAACGCGTTGTGGCCGTAGTCACGGTTGCTGGCTCAGCTCTGGCTTCGTGGCTTGACCATCAGCCCCAAGTCAAAAATGCGCAGCACAGCGCTGCAGGGTTCACGCCTCTGTCCCCTCAACACCATGACCTCCTGCCCCATCGCAGACCGTTCCATCTTCCATGCCACTCACTACCTCTCCTCCCCAATTCCCTTCCCCTTACATCGACCCAGCACTCTTTCACTCGCCAACGAAAGCATCTCGAGTCATGCTTCTCGCGATGCTCGTGCACAGGATCTTGCTGATCGGTACACTCGGCCTGCTCGCGCCGCTCGTCTCCGCAGCCCCGGCGCAAGGAGTGGATGGAGTGAGTGACGCGGACGCATTCTGTTCGAGCGAGAGAGCACGCTGACGTCAGGCGGCTCAAGGTGGCAAGAGCCAATCCCAAGCATTCGACGCGCAAGTATCCTCAGATCACCAAACCTTGGTTGCTCAATTACAGTGCCAAAGCTCAGCACTATGCAGCCAACATCGCTGCTCCACCCATCGTTCAGGCGCGCATAGACTTTGCGAAGGGATGCAACGCTGTGCGCACGAAGCTCAGCATGCGATCTCCCGGCAACGTCTTCTACTTTGATGCGCTACGGTCTCGTGCGGCAGGAGAGAATTTGCTCGAAGCCAGCTGCGCATTGTACGCCATCACCTGGCACGGGGTGCGCGACGCTGTTGACCACACGCAAGAAGTGAGCGCCGGAGCTGAGGTGTGAGCTCGAGCTGTAAGGACTCACAATGCTGTAACGTTCCCTCGCCGACGCTTAAATGCAGGTTGCAGACAAGCTGGGGTGGGCCGTCGTGTGAGCTGGGCGTCTCTGCGAGGCACTGCGCCTCTTGATCACTAATGCTCGCTAGTGCCTCATCCAGCGGCGAAAATCCCACTGAAGACGATTCGCAGGGAGAGTCGCAACTGCAAGGTAAGATGGACTGTCCGCGAAGCGCATACATGGCCGTTCTGCTGACACTCGCCTTGAATGTGGTCCCACAGTCTGGCAGTACTCCAAACACTTTGAGGCAGACTCGAACGCAGCAGCAAGAGATGTTTTGGAGACGTGCGCAGATGTAGCAGAGGCTCATGGAGAGGGGAGTTGGGCCACACTCAACATCGAGGTCAGATATCCCATCGCTTTGAGCTACAGCGTCAACTGCGACGCATACAAAGTGGATGATTCGTGAGTGATGCAGGCGTCGCCTCGCGCTGTGCGCCACGAGAATCTCACGCTTGCCCACCCAACAGCCTCTTCGAAACAATCGACTTGACCAAGCTGGTGCGTCGGCGAATGAAGCGCTCAGTCGACCAGCGCGCTGCTGACCATGATCGTCGCATCGCAGGTGGGACAGAGATTGCATTGGACGCCCGTGGCATAGTGCTTCAAAGGTTCTCGCCTGGCCTCGCCGATCGCGATTCGTCACGCAATCGAGTACGCTTTTGTCTGCTCGCAACGCGTCATGAACATGAACACGAAGTGCAGTACCCAAATTCAGAAGATGAATTAGGGAACGAGAATATCCTCCGAATGGTCTCGCACTGCGATTCGCGCAGGGTACGTCGACTTTTGATGGTATTCCGTGATTGTGAGCAGAGAAAGACCAAGCGACGTTGACCACATCCGAAGTCCTCGAAAGGCCCATTCCCTAAGAGCCGTGTTGCCAAAGCCAATTTCGCCTTCGAAATAGTGGATTGGAAGACGAGGTGCGAGCGGCGCGAGCTCTTCTCCTTTTCTCCCATGGGGTGACTCGAGACCGCTACTTTGATACTCAAGTGTCTGAGTGAGCATCGGGAACCAACAAATGCTCAGAATTAGTCACGTGTCTTGCACATGAAGCGAGCAAAGTGGGCATACATCGAGAGGTGATCGAGTCACTAGTGGTCAGGCAGGATTTCAGTTGATGTTCTTAGCTGCCGGTGAGATGCTACTCAATGGCCGATGAAAGGTGGTTCCAGATGACATGCGAACCAAGTCAAGCGTGGATCCATCATTCATCATCGAAAAGCAGATTCGCGGAGCACGTTCGCAAATGCCCCAAAAAAAAATGCCTCCGCCGAGAATCGAACTCGGGTCTACGACTAACTTCACAAATATGAGGTCGTCATGCTAACCGACTACAACACAGTGGCTATTTCCGCTGCGCCATTGGCGCATTGCCGCGAGGGCTCACTTAGGGAAATATGAACCAAATGGAAAGCACCGGCCTTGCAGGCTAAGATCACACAGCCGATCCCCGCCCATCCGCGCTACGCGTGATCGACTCGTTGACTGTGACTGCCATCCTGGCTCGTGCATGCGTGACGCATCCGGGCGCGACTTTGGCTCGTAGCAGCTCATCGCTACTGCTACCACCTCGTGACTACGTGACTTCTCTGACTCTCCTCGCCTGCCTGTGCTATCAACCCCGACGATACCCATTGACCGCCAGGCTCATCTGCGCCGACAAAAGACCTTGCGCACCACCTCGTCCGCCATCATGTCGCGCGTGGCCCACTTTCCAGTCCCCGCGGGCATCCCAGTCTATGCGCTCGACTTTCTAGAGGAGGAGTTGGTCGTGTACGGAGGAGGCGGAGGCGTTGGCAGGACAGGCGTCACCAATGCTCTCAAGGTGTTGAGGATCTTGAAAGATGACAGAAAGACGGAGGCGCTTCACGAGACGAAGCTGAGCAAAGACGAGGATGCGCCGGGCTGCTTGGCTGTAGAGAGACAAGTGAGTGTTGGAGACCAGCTAGCTCCATGTTGCAGCTTGGGACCAACAAGCTCACCCCCTCTGCCCGAAAGTCACATCAAATCCTGGCCGGCATCAACTGCCCAGCTGAGCATGTGAAGGCCGGACGCAACGAGCCAGTCCGGATCTTTGACTTCAGCGTCACCGCGTCGACAGCTTCAGAGAAGGACAAGGTGCAAGCGCAGATCACCCTCTCTAAGGCCGCGGCCGCCAAAGGTCTTGACATCCGGGACCCAGAGTCGTACATTGTGAGCGGCAGTATGACGACATGAGGTCTTGGCATTACCATCTCTGACCCCATACTCTCGGAGCAGCGCGCGATCGCGCTCAGTCCCACAGGCACACACCTCTCTGTCGGAACGTCGGATGGCCAACACGCGCTGCTTCGATACCCCTCTCTGGAGTCAGCATGGAGCGATACCAGCGCAAAGCCCGAGTCAGTGCAGGAGATCTTCGACACCGACTTTAGCGAAGATTCTGCACAGGTGCTAGTCTGCGCTCAGAGGAGCATCAAGGTTTGGGCGACGGAAGCGGGCAAGGAGGGCGATGAGAAAGGTGTGGGCGGCGGAAAGACCTCGTCAGGCGCGCATGCAGGCCGGCTCGTGCAGACGATCCAGAATCCGGGCCTGGGAGGCCACTCTGCTGCGCTCGCTGCTGGCAACACCAGCCCACAGAGCGCTGCGTGCACTTTCCGCGCAGCAAAGTTTGGAAGAGGTGACCCTGTGAACGGTGGCACGCGGCATCGGCTGTTCACTGTGGTTAACTCAGGGTCTGGTGGGTCGGGGTCGAAGGGCAAGGGCAAAGCTGATCGAAGGAGGTGAGTGGGCGGCGGAGAGCGAGATTCAGAGTTGGGGCAGCATGCTGCTCCTCGGGCTACTCCAACAAGACATATCGTTTTGCTCATGCCCCTTTTCCCTACGTACCAGCTTCGTGACATCGTGGGACGCCGATTCGTGGGACCTGGTGGAGACGCGCAAGATCTCCGACAAGCCAGTGACGGTGTTTGATGTTTCGTGAGTGCGAGCAGGACATTGCGGAGCATGCAGAGCCTGACCCTGGAGCCATCTTTTGCGCCGCCAGTTCCGATGGTACTAAGCTGGCATATGGATCATCGGACCTGTCAGTCGGTGTACTGGATGCACGGACACTTCGCGTGAGTAGTGATGGGCGGCAAGCAGTGGACAATCGCTGTTCGTCCTAGTCGACTCACATTGAGTCATTTCCGAATGCCTTTCGCAGCCGCTTGTACGCATCTTGGATGCTCATGGATTCCCCTCAACAGCTCTCAAGTTTAGTCCGAGCGGCAGGACGCTGATCAGTGCAAGTGCAGATAATACCCTCCGAGTCATCGACGTGCCCAAAGATCTCAAGCCGGACAATGGGATCGGTGAGTGGCTTGGTCATTGAACAGGCTCTCAGGTCAAAGTCTTCTTTGTATGCTGATGGAAATCGCGCGCGCTCTTCTCGTGGCCAGGGGAGCTCTTCGGCTCCATCATTGTTGCCATTCTCTTGGTTCTCGTTGCGATCTGGATGCACAACCGGTTTGATTTGCTCTGAGGCGAGCCAAGATGCGCGCATGAAATCTACATCCAGACGCTCCCATGTTCAGCTGCCACGTACAAATTGCAAACGCTGTCGCGTTGTTTTGAAGGTAACTTACGAATGAATGCCGATTCCTGCTGATGGTGCAGCAAGCGCGATCGACTGGACTCTGCGACATATGCCCTGCGGGAAGAGACGGCCATCAAACAGGAAGCCTCGCCCATCCATTCACGTGATTTGACGTACCTTGGTTTCACGCAGTCTGCCTAGATACCTCAACACTCGTGACTATACGGCGGCTTGCTCGTCCATCTGCTCATCTATGCCTGCCGTCTCAGCCCACAGATGATGATTTCAGCTCAGATATACAATAAACTGCAGCGCCACTCTCACGTCAATCAAGGAACATGCTTCATCACGGTCGCAATCATACCGCCACCGCAGCTGCATGTGCCCTCACCTTCTGCGACGCGCCGTCAGTCCTCATCAGCGTTCGACAAGCCCAATGGTGAGTCGTGACTCACTGCTGCGTGATGAGCTCTTTAGCATCGAAGTACCTCGCGGCAAGGCACAGATTCAATCTGTGAATGATTGACTTATAGCCACTTCTGAATCAAGGCCTGCTGCAATGGCTCCTTAATCGACTTGCTCCGAACTCGCAGCACCCGGCCACGCGTGAGCTGTGCTGCTCTTTGCGGATCTGCAGCATTCGTGACTCCGCCTCCCAACGTCCAACTCTCAGATCTTTGCGTAGGTAAAAGGCGCATCGCCATTCGGCACCACGACTGGTTACCTTTCTCCTCTTACCCTCACACCACGGCATGTATACATGCAGCTAGAGTACCTGCGACCCTTTCCATCATTCTTCGCAGCGCGCGACGGCGCATTCAAACATGGTCGAGGTGGACTTCGCACATTTTCCAGCCGAGACACGCAGCCTGATCCTTCGGGCTCTGGATCCGAAGACCGTCTTTCGCTGCAGGCGCGTATCGAAGCCCTGGCAGCACTGGATCGACAGCGATGAAGACATTTGGCGCAACATTGCATACGCATGGGGTCTGATTGAGAGCCCCACTTCTCCAGTGCCAACTTGGAAGACGGAGGACATGTTGTTGGGCTATGCTCATGCTACTTACGATTCCCTTGCAAGCGCGACTGGCTACTTTGATGAGGTGAACTCGTACGAGAGCCTTTGTAAGCACCACGCTCGTCTGACCGCTGCCTGGGACGCACCAAATTCCTTCGTCGAGCACCTGATGGCGCCCCCGTCGAAACGTCACCGCCCTTCGCCGACCGGCTTGCTCTCAAATGAGCGATACTTTCGGAAGGCGCGCATTGTAGGCACGAGCAGGTCAGGCGAACTACACCTGGCGCTGTTTGAGACTTTGGCCACCGGTCGACATTTTTTGCGCACATCGCTTTCTGCGCGGAAGAAGTTTTCTGGCACGGACACGGCCAACATCCAACCGCACCGCGCACTCAGCAAATTCAAGATGCCTGATATTGTAACACCTTGACAAAGACACCTCGAGGATAATTTTTTCGAGATTATTGGAAAGGAAGAGTCGAATAATTTGGCTCATTTGCCTCAAACCCTTGAGGTGTGGAAGAAAGCCGGCGATCACTACGAAATTGTGGGCAACCTCACAGTGCCAATCCACGGCGGAGATTTCGTAGCACTTGCAATGCGCTATCCTGATTGCGTTGCACTGACCTACGACCATGTTAGTGGTGGATTCCGCTGCGTCGCTTGGGACCTGCGAAATTTCGAGACACATCCTGTTCTTGATCTCGCAGAATGTGAGGGAGTGTCGGCCGTCGATTTTGACAGATCCGCGAATCTGCTTTTCGTCACCGACGACCAAGATGTCAGCATTCACTCACTCGTGGACGGCTCACTCCTCGCATCTTGGGTATGCCTCCCTCTCGATTTCGACGTTCCTTCCTTGGGCATCCCAGCCCACGAGTCTGAGGCACTCTGGCATCTGCCGGCCTCGCAAATTTGGCTTGGCACGGCGTATTTGAAGCACTCATTCATCACGGCGCTGAAAGTGGAGCTCACAACCCACTGGCGCGCACTTGAGCAGACGAGTTTGACACCAATGACTATCGGAAGAAGGTGAATGCCTTGCTTTGGACCGCGTTGTCAACGACGCTCGCTCATTCTCTCGACTCAAGTCATTGTGCCTTTACCGATTTGACTCAGCACTCTGCATCGATATTTGGGGATGTATGCCGTGAGTCGTCCAGCGAGCGACTTTTCGCCAGGCTCCGGCCCATCGTCAGACACCACAACTACCATGAACCCCGATGACTGGGACCCTACCCCTCGAGCCACATATGCCGATCAACGTACTGACACACTTGCTGTGAGCTACGATTGGGGCATAAGTCTTCTAAGACCGTATTCCAAGATCATCGATCCACGGGCTCGACATCTCATCAAGGTCGCCATTCTACATTACCACGTCTTTCTAGAAAAAAATACCAGCGACATCAATAATGTATCGTTCGGCCACCAAGCGGTAGCTAATTCACGGATTTGTCAGGTGATGAATGCGCAGGGCACTTCCAGCAAGAAGGAGCACGTCTTTGTCATCGACCTGGACTCGAGACGTCTTGATACGCACAAGACAGTGCGCGAGCACCCTTTCGAGGATGTGAAGGTCTGGCACATTCAGACCAGAGTGTTTCAGCAAAATGGCAGTGCGCATGAAGCCGGGCGAGAGCGTTGGTCGGATCGATTGCTCCACGTGCATCTAGATGCTACCACGGTATGGACAAATCATTACAACGCTGGTCTGGAGTACATAGACATCGGTTCTCTGACTAAATTTAGCCACGAAGCTTCAGCTAATCGAAGCGCGGAGGACTCCGCAGTGGGAGAGCCATAGAAAGGTGTCACCGACGAGCAGGAGACTATCGAAAAGTGAATTCAAGTGGCCTTTACGCGACAGTCACAGTGTTGCGCAGCTTGGGCTACCCCCGGTCAAACCCAATGCAGTGCGGATGCGCGTCATGCAGGCACCTCTCTTTCGGCGCTCTCTCATCGCAGCATGAACTCGCTCTCTTCGCCGCTGCTTGTCACACGACTTCCCCCCAACCCTCTCGCTCTCGACGAGACCCGCACAACAAGCGCTTCTCACCCCGCATTCCCAAGCAGACTTTCCGAGTAGAGTGCTTCAGTCCTTGTGCCATCATGGCGATCTAAGAATGTCAACTCTATAGACTACAGCAATGACCTGGCCGGAAGGCGCCAAGCCAGCGAAGCGACATGGCGCGCTGCCTGGCGCTTTACGGCACAATCTTGTCGAGCCGATTTTGGCTGTGTAAAAGTGTCCCTGCGATCCTTTCATCAAAGGACCATGAGCATCGACCTGATCGTATCGCCAATCATCTTTCAACGAAGCAGCGCTTTGTCGCAAGAAGAAAAGGCCAAAAAAAAGGTGCGCGCCTACTCACGAGCTGAATGAAGTTGAGAGGATCACGGCGCAGTGCACCCAATGCTGTCCTCGGGCGCATAAGGCAGTGAAATTGTGCACAGCCTCGTGCCTGCACCGTTGGCTTGAACCCACGACCTGCACGTGACAAGGCACGCGCGCGTTTCGGCAAGCGGCGCATCTTGATAGTATTGAGTTTGAGTGAATTCTTGGTTCTAAGTCTAGTGCGGCGCGCCAAATTTAGCGCGAAGCGTCATCCTTCCGCCGACCACGACCACAACCCGCGGCGTTGCGGCGTTGGCTCAGTGCAATACGTAGATACCAGCTCTAGATACGTCCGCATTTGAAAGCGTTGCTACATCTTTGCAGCGCCAAGGCTTCCTTGTCATCTCATCGATGCGGCGGTGCCCGTCAAGACAATCTGAGCAACCTCTTGTCAGGCCTTGATCGGACTGCGTTGGCAAATACACAGATCGAGACCAGCCATCTCTCCTTAGTCACGCTCCGGCAAAGGTATCATAGAGCATCAGAGCCTCCGGGAGCACGCGCGCCACACGAGCTGATCGCACCTCGTCTGATGCAGTAGACTCAGTCCTGACGGTGGTCAAAGGTTTTCGCCCGCAATGCGAGACACGCGCGCCAAAAGAGCTTTACGGAAGGGTGTTTCCAAACCCATCGCTGCATCAAGGGTCACTTTAAAAATGGGCGCTTTGCCTCTCGAAATAAGGTGCGACATCCTGACCTTGGTGGATCCCAAGACGCTCTTGCGAAGTAGACGCGTGTCAAGAGAGTAATGTGCCTGCATCGACGGCTCAGAAGAGATTTGGCGCAGCATTGCTTTCCAATGGAAATTGATAGACAATCCTCGGTCAAAATTGCCGATCTGCAGCGCCTTACAAGACACGTCTGAAGAGTACACGCGATGGCACGACTTGGCGACTACCAGCGCGCAGGGGTACTTTGAAGGCGTTGCCACTTATAAGGATCTTTGTCAAAAGCATGCGACGCTCGCGATGGCTTGGCAGACGCCGGACATATTCCTGCGCGGTGACCGCTGGAGGGGTCGCGACTATTGGCGGAACCGCAATTTGTTGCCTCCTCATGGGCTTCTTGCAAGAATATACTTTGCGTACCCAGAAGAAGAAGAGACAGACGACTTAGACGATTTGTTCATACAGCGACCGGTCATACTGAACACTAGAAACTCAGGACGAATCAGTGTTTTGAGCGCCGAGGACGACGGCTCGGAAACCATCACAGAAGTCTCCGTGCTCGCTGCTCTCGCCTGTGACGACCCCGCTCAAGAGTGTTTAGCAGCCACAAAGGTGCTGAAACAGGTCGCCTCACCAGCGAACGGGGTATACTGTGGACACGATGGCGCGTATCACTTCGTCGTAAACATGGTAGTGCAGAATGGCGGACACTCGATACAGGTCTTCAAAAGGATCAAAGACGCTTCGTATCAGCTGTGTCGCACCATCACTGTGCCTTCACATTTCGGAGTTCCCGTTGACATGTCCATACGGTGGCCCATAGGTGTGGTAGTCACTGAGAGGCCACCAGAGGTGTCCGAGACGGGATGGATCTTGTTCTTGAGCCTAGAAACCTACCAGCAATTCAGAGAGGTCCGACTTCCCGATAGCGTCAGCCCTTTAGGAGTTGATTTCGATGAAGAAGCTGGCCTGGTATTCCTACAGGAGTCAGAAGGAGCAAGCATCGTTTCGGCGACTGATGGAAGCACTGTGTCAAGTTCAATTTGCCAGCCATTTGACTTCGAAATTGATGGTCCGCTTCGGGCCTTTTTCCCTGGCTGCCGCGAAGAGGACACACTACGCGCTTCCCAGATCTTTGTTGAGATCTTTGTTGGGACTATATATCTTTCCAACGACGACAATTACCTTTTGCATCAGCAGCTTCACATCGATTGGCGTCCCGTGGAAGGGTCCACATGGAACCCCTCTCGCATGGGTCGAAGGTGGGTGGGCAGGTAGATCGGCCATGCATGCAAGCTGAAACCCTTCACTTCACTTGCTTTGTGTCGCCCTAGCACCCTGGAAGCCTACATCAAGCTTATCTCAGTGAGTCGGTTGCACTCATCGCCATCGGTCACGCTCTTCCCTAACGCACTTGATTTGCTAAAGGTCAGCTCTGATGACGAAGCTCCTGTCAAAGCTTCTAAAAAGGTGCATGCAGACATCGCCACAGACACTCTTGTTGTGACGTACTCATGGGGTCTGACGTTGACAAGACCGTATTCAAAACTCAAGCACCGTCGTTTCGACTGCATCAAAGTAGCGGTACTTCATTATTATTACGTAGACCCAGAGATGGAGCTGGTCGTTCCCACTCTACAGGTGGATCACACTGCATTTGGCATGGGGCGCTTGTGTCAATTTACTGCGCAACAGCCCCCATGTTCCTACTTGCCTTTCTATCACATGATCGTGATCGATCTCAACGCTTTCCGCCTGGATTCGGCGTGGACGCCGAAGGACCACATTTTCGAAAATGTTTAAGCCTGGCTTCTGGAGACCAGGGGAAGACCGTTGTCCGAGTCCGAAGACGAGGAACATGATGAATATTTCGATCCAGAAGAGAATGACCGGATTTGGGATATGTGGATGGACGCAACCACGGTGTACACGATCCGAACGCAATCGGGGCTTGAGTACGTCGATTTCGGTTTAGCCGTCAATCCTCGTCCTCCTCCAGCCGCTCCCGCTCCCTCTCCAGAGCTCTGAAAGCAACCCGCTAGCCAAGTGCGAAGGCGATGAGGCTGCATTTGGCCAAAGATCGTACTTGACTCGCCGACATTCATCACTACTATTGCTTTGCTTCCCTCGGCGACTATTTGCTCCCACTCACGCATCTTTGCGGTCATATACGGTGCCGTGAAAACTCACGACTGACTTGGCAGGGTGAGTGGCGGAGGCAGGGAAATGGCTGGGTGTGAAGATCACGCGGGTTTGAGGACGCATATACATTCACTTGTCGAATCACAAATCTTACAGAGCATGCCGCTCGCCCACCAGGCTTCTTCAAATCGACGCTGTGCCAAATATGAGTGCGGTACTGAGAAGCGTCGCTCTTGTGCTGATCATGCTCGGTATCCATGGCATTCAAGATTCAAATTCACGTGAACTAGCACGTAGACGCAACACCACTCTTCTACATGCCAGACGACGGGCAACGGGCGGACATTAATTCAAAATTCTCTTCATTCAAGATTCAATATGCGAATCACAATCTTGCTTATTGAATACAAACAAATGCAAGAGCTACATCACTCAGAATGAAGGGCGCAGCGCGCGAACAAGTGCGCCCTCGCGCTCGTCAATCTTTGAATATTACCGCGGCTTCCCGAGTTCAGCAGCTCGCCATCATGCACGCAGCAGCTATATACAGGCGTTCAAGCTGTCGCGCCCTCGCGCTCGTCAATCTTGAATACCACCGCGGCTTCCCAAGTGCAGAACCTCGCCATGCGCAGGCAGCAGCTAGGCGTTCAAGCTGTCTCACCTCGAGTTGCTGTCAATCGTGAACTGTGAATCGTGAATCACGAATGGAGCAAGAGCAAGAAAGCGTCTTGCATGTATCCGGCTGCTGCCAGCATGGCTCGCGCCTCGCGAGCCAGCTGCTCTCTGAAGCACCCTGCTCCTCTCACACTTTATTCAGCCCACGTTGCATCTGAGCTGCATATATACATAGCTCCACCTCAAGACTGGCCCGGCCGCGAGCAGTCGAGGCCCGATGACTCATGAATTGGAGGATCGAGAGATGGCGACGTGGTCGAGCCAGTCTCAGTCACGCGATGTTTCACCGCACTCAACAACACTCAGACTCGGACTTGGCCAGCGTGCAGTCGGGACGACGGATACTCGCCGCGAAGGTTGTCACGACTCACGACTCACGACTGTGCATGGCTCTATATAAGTGGGCACTCGTTGCTGCATGAACGCCGATCAGGAAGCACATCGAGCGCGCTTGGCGATGTGAGTCACGAGTCACAGTCGTGAGTGTCTCTGCTGCCTCCATGCAGCTTGAATGGATCGAAAACAGCAGGACTGGAAGCCGGGCGGTGTGCTTGGGAAGGACTCTGCTTATTGCAAAGCGACGCACACAGCGGCCTCTCGCAGCGCATACAGCTGCTGCTCTGCATGCTATTGCAATCGGAATACAGCTGCATTCTGCCCACTCCCGCTTCGAGCAGCGGCCGGCGCGGATGTACCTGTCAAGTTACCACCACAACCCTCACAACCACACCTTTCCACAGGCGTCAGCCAGTCGTACTCCTCAAAGCTTTGCAAGATCTCAATCATGACGTCTAGTCCTTCCTTCATGGATCTGCCACCTGAGCTCTGGGTAAGCATTGCCGTGCACGTTGATCCGAAGACGATCATCCGTAGCAGACGAGTATGTCGTCGGTGGAAGGTGTTCGTAGACAGTACTGAAGAAGTTTGGCGCAGTGTCGCCTTTCACTGGCATCTTTGCGATGGCGTCAATTTGCCATTGCCACTTTGTCAACCAGCCCAGAATCGCAAAGATGGCTTCTCACGAGCCGAAGATGCTGCCACAACAAGCGGAAGCGGTGCTTTTGACCGTTTAGCGACGTATCGCTCACTCTGCGATTCCCACGTCATGCTCGTGCAAGGCTGGTCGACGCCCCAGATTCACGCCACGATGCAAAAATTAAGTGGAACGATTGAAGACAAGACGGGCTTGTTTACTTTGCCACGAATTACCGCTACGACTTCCAATGGATATGTAGTTCTCGTCGTCGGTGTGGAAGGGGAAGCCGGCTACTCCACTCTCATGCTATCAATGTACATCGCTACCTCGACGTACGCCAATTTAGGGCAAGTTGGGCGGACTCTGACAGTTCGTTCTCAAGTCAAGCATGTGGAAGGACCAACTGCTTGGATGGCTACCGACAATAGCAACGAGCTTGTGCTTGTCCACCAACAAGTAGATGATAGCTGGGCCGTACAGCACCTTGGGGTTGACAGAGACAAAGCTGGCACCACAAAGCCAGCGATGCACATACCTTGCCATGCTGAGCCATCAACACTTCGTGTGCACCGGCCGGTCTGTATGATAGGATCCTCTGTACAAGCAGAATACTCGGAGACGGGCAAGTCCGCTTGCTCGGTAAGTTGCTGGTGCCTCAAGTCGCATCGACTGACCAAGACATTCAGCTTGAAGAACACAAAAGGCCAGATTGACTCGCTGGACTTTGATCTGGACAGGCAACTCCTCTTTGTAGCCGATAGCGCCGGCGTTGCGATCTATTCTTTCCGCAGTGCAAAGGGTGAAGGTGTAACTTTGACCAGCCAAACTTCTAGCTACACAATGCAGGGAAGTGTGCCGCCTACACTTGCCCCATCGCCTGACGTCTGGCTCAGCGCTTTGTCTCTGCAAGGCGTCGACGTTTATATTGGAACAGTGTCTGTCGGCAATACAGAAGCTGGGTTGGACCATCTGCCTCTTGCCATTGACTGGCGCCACCTCGGACGCAGGCAGGTGAATCCTTTGAGGGTACGCGCATCGTGAGCACGGATAATGTATAAGCTGGCAAAGCGCTAGAACCTGCCATCTGACAAAGTCTGCCTTCTTTGTCATGCCTTCCGAGTATGCTCGCAGTCTTCTCGACGAGCTGCTGGACGCTCAATTCCACGCGCGGGTGAGAAGCCGAGGTGTTGAGCCAGTCATGAGAATACGCTTAACTTTCGAAGTGCTTGATCTCTTCGAAGTACTTGATCCCTCAGATGCTTACTGAAGTCACATCACCTGAAGACGTCTGGTCTGACGTTGCATCGGAAACTTTAGTGATTGTGTACCAGTGGGGAATCACTCTCGTCAGGCCGTACTTTTGCCTGAACAAAAAGCCGTACCGGGGTCAGATCGGAGTCGGATTCATCCGCTACACCTTTCCTGAGAGCCCGTTTCACACAAAAGACTACAGCGAAGAGGTGCTGCCAGATTATATTCTGGATGCTGAAATGTTGCACTCATCCTATTCGAATGGGCGTGTATGCCAAGCTCTGGTGGAGGTCCCTTTTCAAGAGCCCTCTTTCTCCCATCTTCTTCTCGTCGACCTCAACTGCCATCGCCTCGACACCCTCTTCGAATGCGAGCAGCATCCATTCGAGAACATCAGAGCTTGGCGCATCGAGACAAGAGAGGAGTCCATCGAGACCTTGGAGGATGGTTCTCTTCCCGCGCAGGAGGACATCGTCCTGACCGACGCCCTGCAGTCTCTGTACATGGACGCCAGCACGATTTTCACTCTACGTTCGCAGTCTGGCCTTCAGTACATCGACTTCAACACGCGCGGCAGAACGCGCTCTCAAGTCGAGGATCACATGCTGACGAAACAGAGCGTAGCAATGTCGGAGGCGTTGTCGAGAGACTTGGAGAATCTCGTGCAAGAGACTCGAGAAGCGATGCGCATGGATCCAAGCCATTTCGATCCTCGTTTGCCGCCACTATCGCGCGACGAAGCGTAGAATGGAGTGCATGCCCTCCACGCTGCGACATCAGCAAAATCAAAAGGTAGAAGCATCAAGATTGCGCGATATAAAAGCACCACCAGAACTCGAATGTCGAAAGCGCAGTAGAGACTCTTCGGGCATCTTCCTACAATCAAAAACAGATGCATTCCATCAGCCCCGACATCTGTAGCCCGATCCCCATGTCATGAAGACCGCTCTCGAGAACTCAGCTACCTTCATCGCTGACCACCACGACAATGACGCGAGATGCGCCTCGAAATTCAATCGCGAATGAATGTCACCTATAAAAGTCAATAGTGAGTCAAGAGTCTGAAGAGTGGCCAAAGTTTGAAGGATCAGTGGTCGCTATATAGGCATTGAGAAGAGTCCTTGCGCAAGGTGAAATGCGGATGTAATCTCAAAAGTAGAAAGACACGATGTCATGACGGAAAAGGCGGGATCAAGTCCCAGTGCTGCTGCAGGTGGTAGAGTGATGCGTATACGCGGCAATTGTTCATGCACCACACTCTGCATATGTGCAAGTCTCGGATCAACTTCAGCCCTCGGAATTGCACCTAAATTAACCGTACTTGCATCATCACGATCGACACACGGCATTCATGCAGCCACACGACTCTGAATTCTAAAGGCGACCCGAGATCAATCAATTCGCCGCCAGAAAGATGCGCCGATCGAGCAGGCCTATAGAAGTCATAGCTAGATGCATGCAATCGTGAATCACGAATGACCGCGTCTCGCTCAGCTCATCAGTGTTTCATTAAACTCACTTTCCCGATCGGCCAGTTCGGCATCTGGGTGCACTTGCGCTTGTCACGTGTACGCGTCTCACAGCCGCGCTTCAACATGCATATGCATGCACCGCCTGAACATGTACATGTATACACCACAACAGAGTACAGACCCTCTTGCCTCATTACATCGATCTCTCCACGCCTGACGACACTCCTGACTAACATGTTTCGTATGGACGTCAGATTCTAGAGAAGGATGGCAAAAGGCGATTGAGCTGCTTTTTGAGCACTCGTGCGAGCCAGCAGGCTTCACTTGCGACTGCAACCCTTGCACATAACGACTTTGCGGGGGCTCTCCTCCTTCTGCCCGATTCGTTTCATCAGCTGCACTGGCACGCTCGCTCATCACCCTGATCACGATGAGCTCGCACTTTCGCATGTCGGACCTGCCAGCGGAAACCAGAAGTCATCTCATGACCCTCGTGGACGCAAAGACAATCATCCGCAGCAGAAGAATATCAAGAGGATGGAGGGCGTGGTTCGATGCGACGCAAGAAATCTGGCGCAGCATTGCCGTGCAATGGGCCATCATCTCTGACGTGCATGCACCCTTCCCTACTGGTGACCGAAGACACACTCAAGGCTTCACAGCAATTGCGGACGCAGCCACAGCAAGCGCTACCGGGTATTTCTCCGCGCAGACATCATACAAAGTGCTTTGCGACGAGTATCGAGCATTGTCGTTAGCATGGTCCACATCGGGAGCACTACAAGCACGGTCACCAGATGCGCAAGGCTCTTCTCGCGCATGTAGCCATTTCCGTACTCTTGCATGGCCTAGTGAGGCCAGAATAGTCGAGACCAATCGCTGCGGTAGCCTCACTATCCTTCTTGCCTGGCCCAGCCAGCATGAGCCTGACTACTCAATAGTAGAACTTCAGATAGCGCCCACAACTGACAATGAACCTGCGTTTCAAAGTCTGCAACAGCTTTCGGATTCAAAGCTTCTGTTGCAATGTGGAGACATGCCAGCGCACACAAGGCTACAATCGCACCATTTCACCGATGGAGACCACCAATTTGTGGTGGAGGAGGATGCCGACACGTGTATCTTGAAAGACTACAAGTTGCAGCACGACAAGTCATATGTGGTCTGCGGGAGCTTGTCTTTCTCACCCACAAGCTTCACGGGCATCCCTATCGCGATGCAGGTCCGATGGCCGATGTGTGTCATAGTCCTTCAAAATCAGCCTGCTGATGAAGAGGTCAGAACAAGGTCAACGAGGATATGCTACTGGAATCTTCAGACCCGCGCTACAATCCGCACTGTCGAAATAGAGGATACTCCGAGTTGTGTTGAAACAATCGACTTTGACCTTGAAGCCAATCTGTTTGTTCTGGGTCTAGAGGATAGGGTGCACATCTACTCGGCCAATGATGGTAGACTCGTGTCAGATACAGTCTGCCATCCCTTTGACTTTCAGATCAAGGATGAAGATGTGCTGAGCAAAGGCCTTCTAGATCAAGCCTCGACTCTACTCGTGTCAAGTCAGATCTACATTTGCACAGCTTCTCTCACTGATTACAAGCAAGGCTTCAAACAGGCTGCTATTCCCCTACGTTGGCAGTCAGTAGAAGGCACTTCCCTTAACCCAAGCTACATGCGCACAGAGTGAGGCTATTGCTGCTTTCAGAGCTAAAAAGAATGCCCCACTGACCTATTGAGTGCACGGTCCCCTTTCCTGCATGAGGCATCTGAACGGTCAGAATAGCGCACAGGCCTCCTCTCTATGCATGTATATAAGTCTCTTCCAGTTCCTTCAGTCAAGCCCCCCACTCGCTATGAATTTGATCTCTTCTCACAACAGATTAAGAGTCTGTAGCTCAGACCCTGACCCCGCTCAACACCGTACCCAAAGCTCAGCAAACAACAATGTCACTCAACAAGGTTTCATTCAGCAAGGTGCCCGTCCTCAAGGGATCGGCAGATTTCTTTAGCTGGCAGAATAGGCTTGAGGCAGTCTTACGCTCGGAGAAAGTGTGGTACACGGTTG